ACTTTCCAAAGAACTCTGGGTAGAAAGGCTTGTTATATGGGCTAACTGAAGATCTTATGGTAGGGTTGCCATATGTGGCCTGCAGATTTTCAAATGATTATTAGATGACAGCAAAGAGCTAGAGCAGGCATGTCAAACTGCTGGCCCACGGGCCGGATGCATCATACTAAAACTGTGCCCACCCCATTGCTGGCAATGGGGAAAAGTCACGATACGTCGCGAGTTTGACATGCCTGAGCTAGAGCTTTCTGCATTGTTGTTGCCACCTAGTGGTCATCAGGATTTTTCTAGCGCAGTGGTTCTCAACCTGTGGGTCGGGACTCCATTTGGGGTCGAATGACCATTTCACGGGGGTCACCAAACCATGCTGTCCGCCATTTTTTCCTTTTTCCCTAGCTGTCCTACTCCCTCTTATTGGTGGCCACACCCACTTGGGGGTCACCACAACATGGGGAACTGTATTATGGGGTCACGGCATTAGAAAGGTTGAGAATCACTGTAAATCTAGCGCAATCTACAAAATCTAGATCTTTTTCCATGTGTTCTCTGATAAAATATTGGAATGAAAATAGAGCATTATTATTATGGACTACGGTGAGAAATAGGGTTCTGTGCTAATAGAAGGCAAGACATTCCTTTCAATATTATATATATGGGATTCATTTTCCCAGAATAATGCAATAAATACATTTGAGACATGTTCACATGCAGTATCTAGCTTAGTGTAAATCATAGTTAAGAGATTTATTCTTGAATCCATGCCAAAAGATGTAACAATCCATGTCTGGTTGCAGTTTTTGGCCATTCCGGAATCTATGCCAATTCCATGGTAGGTGATAGGGTGACACTTCCTCTCCCCCATTCATAGGGATGAGCTTAACTTAATCAAGTTGGAATCATGTCATATGAAATCAGCCTCTCTCTACAACCTTTGGGTTTCCTCTCTCTCTACACCCTTCGTGTTTCCATTTCCTTGCAGCCCACCAATACCAGAGGATTTGAAAATAGAACTAGAGAAATGAAGATACTACTGCACCTGAAATAGTTTCAGTTACTGATTCTGTCCAGAGACTGAAAGAAAAAATTAATGATAGATTAACTCCTTGGAACACATGTAGGATCATGGTCATAAGTAGGCTAAAACCAAATCACGAGTAAAATCATGGTTAATTGTTTCACCTTGGCTTAGCATGCAATACAAATTGTCTCCTTCTCTTTTTCTAATGTACACATATAAAGTTATGTCTGATTGTGTATGCATATGGAAAGAGGAATGGCAGATATCACACAATAAAGTTTAGAATAAGTTAACATATATCACAGTATTTCACCTTGTCTTCTCTTATCTGGCTGCAAAAACCTGGACAAGTAGTATTTCCCTGGATAGATCTAAACAACTCTTTTCTGCTGTCTGGATTTTGTAGAATTATGATGAGGGTAACATTGAAGTTGAAAGAAAGCATCTTGGAAAACTGCAATACTAAATGATTTTTGCTCTCCAAAAAACAACCCTGTAGAAATATAGCAATCAGTTGACAAAGCCCATCTTCATCTTTCCTGGATAAACTGGAGTTTATTTCTGGGTAAGCTTTCTTAGGACCGAGGCCAATATGTGTAGTTAATAGCTATTGCAAGTGTGAGCAAGTGTGTAGATTCTAGCACATCTCAAGACTCATTATTCCCTGGGGAGAAAAAGACCACACTGTTCAAAACAAAATAATGTAAAACTATTTGCTTTTTAATTGAAAATACACCTACAAAGTAATATTTCTCAAGCCACACCCTGGGTGCATCAATTGCCAACTCAGAATAGGCACAAAAGAGAGAATATTCTATGGCTCATGATTTCTGTACGAAACAGTTAGTATTAAAAAAGCAGTTAAAGAACTGTCATACTTTGTAACACCATTTTCTCCTAAACTGAGAGCATGGAATGATAGCCCTTTACATGAATATTTTTTTCAGCCACTTTCCAAAAATAGTATCCATTCAAAAGCAAACCATAGTAAAAGTTATTCCATACAATTTAATATTAACTTTGTACACATTACAGTACTGCTATAAAAATATCTCTAGTTACATTTCAGAAAACACCTGCCTCTAATCTAGGTTTTCTTTTTGTTAGCGCAAACAAGAAACAAATAATTAAAAAAGGCACATCCATTTACTGCATTCAGTCAGAAATTACATAAGAGCTTTGCGTTACTTTAAACACCATCAGATACACTGAGTTAATTCCTATTCTTTTTCAAAGGGGAAGCTAAGTGAGTCTCCAAAACCCTGCCTACCTACTTCCACCATTCAGAGACTGTCACTACAACCTCAACAATTCCACTTCACAATCTGAAATGTTAAATCTTTGCAGGGTTTAATTCACCTGTCACACTTTTAAGATAATCCTCATTGTGTTTCAGAAACTTCAGGCCAGCCCTTTTGGTGTTTTATCAGTTTGACAATGTCCCTCAAAAAGAGCCATTAAGCAACAGCAAGAATTTAGGGTGGGGCTTTTACCCCTAGAAAGGGCATTATCGCTGTCATGTGGGACAGTCTCATTCTGCATTTGTAATATGGAATCTGGAACAGATCTAGGCACTTTATGGCCTCTGGGCCACATCTTAGAATAAAATAGAGCCGGAAGGGATCTTGGAGGTCTTCTAATCCAGCCCCCTGCTCAAGCAGGAGAACCTATATCATTTCAGTCAAGTGACCATCATCTGGCCCTTTGGCTGTGCCTGTTCAGCCCAAATGAAGTCAATGGGAAATTAGAAATCAAATATAAATAAGCGTATTCCATGCACGCAATACAACTGCATTGCTTTTATTTTGAGGGTGACTTTTATGTATATGTGTGTGAGCCTACGCATTTTCACAGTCCTATTGGATAGGCCCTTCCACAGACCTATTGGTTAGTCCCAGCCTACTGGGGTCCCTTTGGGAAATTAATTGTCCATCCTTGGCCTGAAACATGACAAGGGGCACCTAGTGGAAATACAGGCTTGTGAGTGGTTTGTGGTTCATATTAGGATTACTGGATCTGGGTTATAAAAATCCACAATGAAAATAAATTATACAACATTCCAATTCTTTGCTGTTGTCTTTTGATTGTCGGGATTTTCACAGCCCAGGTAGGCAGCTTATGTTAAACCTACTTAGCGAGGAAAGACTCTTCACTAGCCACAATGAACAGGCTGTTCATTTGTAAACTACTTCCGTTGGAAATTGTTCCATAAGTAGGCAAAATGAATAGAAACTGAGAGATTAGAAAAGCACAAGGGAGCTGATTCCTATGTAGTGTTTACTATACTAGCTTATAAAGGGAAGGGGATGTATAGTAAAGGTCTACTGTAAACTCTGAATAGTAGGTGATGAAAAATGAGTTGGTCTGCTATAAGCCTGGATTAAATAGAAATATCATCCCCACATTTGATGGTCAAAACTCAGAAACCTAAATCTTTTCTCTTATACCAGCATTTTACTTAAGATTTCAGCAATGAATCTGAGAATTCTATTGCAAATCATCTCTCTTTTAATCTGCCTAGATTTGTCTGTAACGCTTGGTGGCTCTGAATCTAATTGTGAGATTGAACCTTGAAAATGTCTTTTCCCCCCATAAATAATGCCAGCTATCTTAGCTTAAACTGGGTAAGGTCAAGTTTTATGTGTAATATCCATTTTGTAAAAAATAAAAATAACAAAAAATCAGGGCATAACTGTAGAATTCTGAGAATTAGCCTGGATGAAACACACTTGTAGCTTTCGGTAGTTCTTATTATGTAGGGATCAAATGAATGAACCTTGAATATCAAATTGGCAGCTCTAAGGAATAACTCAGCCTTATTTTACAAAAATGCTATTAAAATACTGTTCCAACAGACTATACAACCAATATATGTTTATATTTACACCATCTTATGAAGTCAGACTGTTTCAAATGTGGGACTTTCCCATTATTCCTGGCTAGCAGAAATGGGGAATAATGGTTTTGGAATCAGATTCCAACGGTTAATCCCTTCCTTCAAGCATCCCATTGCAGAGATTATTCTGCTTGCATAAAGCTTTCCTTCCTGACTCCTCTGACCATGCATGTAAAATATAATTTAAAAATCTTATTTTTTTTAAATAAATGGGTTCTGTGAAACAGCAAGCTTCAAACAGACAAAAATCATGATCTCATCCCAATTTTTTTTAAAAAAACTGTCCTTTCATAGTCCCGAAGACCTCTTCTTTTAAAAAAAGGCTTTTATATTTTTCAATATTTATTAAATGTTTTCATAATTCTCTTTATATACTCTTTTTCTTAATAAAAAATAATCAAGCACCACATTAATATTACTTTTATACAAAGTCATCTCCTACCTGTGTTAGCAGGGTCTATCAGATGGATGCTGCTAACATGGAGAAAGTGGTAGTGGACTAGAAAGTTTGGTCTTTAAACTTAAGTTAAAAAACTTAAAAAGTATTTTTTTAAAAATGCATTTAACCAAATTTTGGAAGATTCATCTTCCGGAAAGCATTTTTGGTTCTGTAGTTTCACTATGAAAGCACAAATGTAGCCAAATCTTGACAGATGATTTGTAGACACTGCTGTTTAGAATTTCATCTATATGTTCCTATTTAACATGGTGTCAGAGATTCTAAAATCGTTCCTGCTAGAGGCTTAAACATAGGCAGACAATTTAAATGCAGTAGTTTAATTTAAACTCATACTAGTTATAGTTGCATATAGTATAAACCATGAATTAGTACAGGTAGTTCTCGACTTTACAACCATTTGTTTAGTGACCGTTCAAAGTTACAACGGCACTGAAAAGTGACATATGACCATTTTTCATACAACCATTGCAGCATCTCCATGGTCATGTGATCAAATTTGAATGCTTGGCAACTAGTTCATATTTATGACGGTTCCAGTGTCCCAGGGTCATATGTTCACCTTTTGTGATCTTCTGACAAGCAAAGTTAATGGGGAAGCCAGATTCACTTAACAACCATGCTACTAACTGTAGTGACTCACATAGCAACTGTGACAAGAAAAGTCATAAAATGGGGTAAAACTCACTTAACAAATGTCTCACTTAGCAACATAAATTTTGGGCTCAATTGTGGTTGTAAGTTGAGGACTACATAACTAGTAAAAAGAATCTTGGGGAGAATCATTCCTACACAACAAGGAAGAATAAACCAAGCCCAATTTTCTTTTAATAGCAGATACCTGGTGGTTTGCCTTTATGTGCAATCAAGAATTGTAGTTTAAAATAGCCTGTAATCTATTATTAAATAAAATATATCACAGCAAACCCTCATTTTTTTTGCTAGATTATAGTGTTTCTTTTCAGCTACAATCTCTAGTTCCTGTATAACAAGCAAGAAGCTAAGAGAAACAGAATCCCAATTTATTTCTTAGTTTGATAACAACAGATCACCTCTACGTGAGCTACCTCTTTATTTCAAGACCTTTTTGCTCATCTGTGTAATGATGGCTTAGCACTGTGCATAACGTCTGCCTGGAAACAAGGAATTTGTATTTCATTTGTGTGGTTTTAAAATATGGGTGTTTTAGAATTCATATCTTGGTCTTTAGGTTGCTAAATTCAATGAATGTTTCAGGAGAGTTGCAATGATAATGATCTTTGCCAAAAATTCTCATTGGCTTAAAGTTGGTTTATATTTCCTGTAAATTTAAGGTATGTGTGTGTGTGGGGGGGGGGGCTAAAGATCTTCAACAGGATTCTTAATGTCAGACTAAACTATATTTCACACAATTGATTGGAAATGTCACATGGATATAAATCAGTGAGGATCTCAACTCCTACTGAAAATTCAAATGTCGATTGAGATTTAAGTCAGGACAATTTATGAACCATGTTAATCTTTCTGGAGCCTAACATTTTATAATACCACCACATTAGCAGTTTCTGTAGGAAGCAAAAGCAGTTACTTTTTGAAAACTACTGTATATATGATTGGTGGGTTATAATTTATCTAAACCTCACTAGATTAAATCAGCAGAATATTTACAGCTGTTTGATCAAATAATGACATCAGAATTGCTGTGATAGCAATAATTCAATATGTCCATGGCAAAGAAGCAACTAAGATGAATTTCCTGTTCAAAAGTGCATATGTTTTTATGTGTGTGCATCTGATCTCTGATCCTGGAAAAAAAACAGTATGTATGAGTAGCAGTATTTGCACTAAATACTATAATCTAAAAGAGAGTCATAATGTTACACATACACAGAGGTATTTGCAGGTTTGTGATATACAAAATCAATGGGATTTGAAGGTGCACAGTACCAAGAAGCATGAGCCTCTTTCTGATACTAAAATATCCCATTGGTTAGAAATGAAAATAAGAATTAGTAGTTTTTGCTTAATTCATAAATATAATAACCTGTGGGAAATACTATCCACTTATTTCATCCTTTAGAAAAAAATGTATTCATATTTGTGCCATTCTAACAGTAATGAAATAAACTATTGTTTTTAAAAAGAAATCAAAATTTGCTATTAATTTCTCTAGAAATAGCATTAAATGTCAAAGGTGACTTGATGGTGCTAGGAACATGTAGCAATTTGAACAAATGAAGCCTCTTTCAGGATTTCTTCTGTTTTGCTGTTTCAGCTTATATTAAGTGAGATCACATTAACAGGATAAAGAAATATATATATTCTTGAATAAGCTTGGTAATTTGATAAAACATTTACCACCCATTAAAATGTTGCATATCACTTTGTGTAATTCCTATATTTTTTTAATGGCACGTAGCTCTATATCACAGGTGCCAACAATTTGGGATATTTTCACCAATTTTGAAAAATGTGCACTGATCCCATCATTTCTCCTGCACAAATTGTGCAGGCTTTTTCCAGCCAGATGTCACACAGATGTAGTGGATTATGACTTCCAGAATTCTAACCAGCATGTCTGCTGCATGTTTCCTAAGAATTCTGAGAGTTGTAGTCTCACATCAGGAAGGTATCAGGCCAGACAAAGTATGTCTAGGTAAACATAACATGAAACATAACAATACTGTGCTTTGCTTTGTCCTCCTCTGGCTTTCCGTACTGGAAAGAACAAGGCGAGGCATATGGAGCAACAGCCTGCTGTTGTTGATTGCTCAAACCTAGCTATCACAAGGCAGAGGGGCATGTCACACACTCCGTCTCTCATAATATCTAGTTCATCCTTAAACCTTTTCAGTGCTTTGAGAGTACAAGAAGAAATGAGGAACAAGAAGAAGGACCAAAGAAACTGTACATTTTCCATAACTCTAGTTGCTTTGTCTCAACTTTCCTCTACCTTACATCTTGGTTTCACTGTCTAAGGGCTTTTCATTCTCATTCTCTTGTGAAATCAGCTGGTAAGGCTTCTTCATTTCATTCTCCTCTATCACGGAGTTACCCATTTCAGCATCTTTGTTCCGTAACTCATGGCGTGATAAGTGTTCGACAATTCCTGCGCCAATGGAGTCTCCCAAAACGTTGGTAGTAGTACGCAGACGATCCCTAGGAAATACGTTCAATTTATGTAAACCAGTCATTATTTACCAACACAATGAAAGCTTTCACTAGAAGATATAACACAAGTCCACATTCTTTCATTCAAATTACATCTATAGTATAATAACATTTGCTTCAATGTTTGCACAGAAGTAATGAGAAAATGTTACAGGATCGATGGGAAAAAAATAGTGAAACGAAATAAGAGCCATATTTAAAAAATTAAATATCAGTTCCAAGAAGGAACAGCACATAGGTATTTTGTAACATTCATGTTGTCTTTTGGGCCTTTTCCTTCTTGCACAAGGAGATTCAAACTAACTGGCCACAAGTTGCAGCATTTGAAAGGGTTCATTAAGAAACAAATAACAGGCAAATGTCTGGTCTAATGAAGAGAAGGGTGAGGGGGGACATGATAGCAGTGTTCCAGTATCTCAGGGATTGCCACAAAGAAGAGGAAGTCAAGTTATTTTCCAAAGCACCTGAAGGGAAGACAGGAAGCAATGGATGGAAACTAAAGAGAGAAGCAACCTAGCACTAAGGAGAAATTTCCTGACAATTAGAACAATTAACCAGTGGAACAACTTGCCTCCAGAAGCTGTGAATGCTCCAACAGTGGAAGTTTTTAAGAAGAGACTGGACAACCATTTGTCTGAAATGGTACAGGGTTTCCTGCTTGAACAGGGGGTTGGACTAGATGACCTCCAAGGTCCCTTCCAACTTTATTATTATTATTATTATTATTATTATTATTACTATTATTATTATATAAGATTTGCATGTTAAAATACGATGACTGATAAGACTATCTGAATAATGCATCTTTTAAAAAACTACAGCTTGGAAGGTGATCAGAGACTGAATAACTTCCATATTTCTGCTCAAAAAAATCTTCGTCAGTAGTGGTGAATATCTGTAGCTTGGGTGTAGGACTGAGGGTGAAGGTTTGTTCTCTGAGTTTGTGGGTTGACTTCCGAATGTTTCATTACCAGGCTAAGTAACATCTTCAGTGGAGTTTAGGGGAATTTAAGTTCATTACAAGACCTACTGACTATATGAAGCCCTTATAAACAGAAGAACACTGACACCGACATCCCCTAAACTCTACTGAAGATGTTACCTCGCCTGGTAATGAAACATTTGTAAACCAACCCACAAGCTCGGAGAATGAATCTTCACCTTCAAATCTTCATCAGTATCTTATTCTAGTCTTTTTATATAAGATGACAGTTTGACATTTGTATGCAATTTGTATGCAATGTAATCGGGTATTGTTTCAAAGAGACCCAATACATTTCTTCAGGAAAGGAACTACAATGACTTATAAATTTAATTTTTACTAGTATCTTTAGTCTACTTCATTGGAAAGATACTCACAGAAACCAATCCACTGCAATGATAAGTGTTATGTCATCTGTAGGCAAACCAACAGAGGTTAACACAATCACCATTGTGACTAGGCCAGCTTGAGGAATTCCTGCTGCACCAATGCTGGCAGCTGTTGCGGTAATACTGTTACAAGGAAAGAGACAGAAAACTAGTCATACTGCCATTTTCATTTTTTTAACATTTCCTTATATCATAAAACTCTTTCAGCTTTGAAGAAGTTGTTGGCTAGAAGTTCATGAATAGGGTTAGAATCAGTTTGTGATCTATAATCTGAAAAACACAATCCTTCCTTCCTTCCTTCCTTCCTTCCTTCCTTCCTTCCTTCCTTCCTTCCTTCCTTCCTTCCTTCCTTCCTTCCTTTCTTCTATATTAATCTAAAAACATAACTAGCACAATAGGACTTGTGGTCTATATAGCAGTCTCAATCTGGATTAGATCTTGATATTGTAATTTGCATTGCAATCAATGTATTCTGTGATTTCTGAATTGTTCATGATCTCCTACTTTATCATCCTCCTGTCCCCAGTGTTATCATGCATTCCACTCAGAAATGCCCCTCATTCCAACTTTTCTACCTTTGTTGTCTTGCATACTGTAGGTATACAAGGAAATGAATTTTGCAGGATTTACAAACCTGATTGTGATAATTTGCCCAAAGTTTAGATCCATATTGTTAACCTGTGCAATGAAAATTGCAGCCAGGGCTTCATACAAAGCTGTCCCATCCATGTTAATAGTTGCACCCACAGGTAGTACAAATCTTGTAATGCGTTTGTCTACTCCATTGTTCTCTTCCAAACACTTAAAAGTGATAGGCAAAGTGGCAGAACTGAAACCAGATGGGGAGAAAAATAAAAGACACCATTACCATGAATGAATGAATGAATGAATGTGTGTGTGTGCGCACGTGTATGTATACATATACACACACACATACACAGTGAGAGAGAGAGTTGGTTCATATAGTTAAACTTCAGACAATGCTCAAAATTTGAGAGAATCTGCATCCAGAGTTTCCTGGGTGTATATTTTTGAAAGACCATACAGTACAGGTAGATCATGTGTGGTGCCTGCACATTTTCAATGCCTTTCATTTCATTGAAGAACATGGTTGTCTAACTTGGAGACAGTACTAGACTAAAAGATATGTTTCAATACAAAGCAGTTTCAGATATTAATTTTCAAGATCAAGAATAATTAACGTGAAAGAGCTGTCCAATTAAAATATTTATTGGAATATGTAGTCAAATAATATAATGTGCAGCATAATTTGGATATTGTCTTATATTGTACTCTGAATGGTACATAGATTCAGATGAGTGTCGCTACACACATATTGGAACAACATGTTAGGTGTAAAGTAAAACCTAAAGTAGAGTTGAAGAGTGATAGAAACCTGGGGTAATGTTAGAAACCTGGAATAATCACATCTTCTCTCAATCATTTGCAATAAAAACTTCTGCATATATTCATGGAGCAGCCTATCCATAAGTAAGCTCTCAATTTTTAAAACAAAATACCATGAACAATATTGTTATCTGTAGATAAGACAATTGTGAAAGTTGAAATTTTTTAGGGCCAGCCTATCTGTGGGTGGCACATTTTTCATATTATTTTAATTAAAACTTAACAATCTGCTTACAAGCAGATAGGCTTGCACTCCAGTATATATGGGATAAACAGTATTTTAAAAATGCATTATATCTATAGATAAGCTGAACCCAATGGGGGGGGTGTATTTTGGGACCTATATGTATATGCAATATATAACCAATAAAAACTCCTATATCCCAAGCTATTTGATTATGGAAGTCTACCTTGAGGAAGTTCCCAAAGCTGTGATGAGAGCTTGCAACAATCCTCCAATAAAGACCCAAGGATTTTTCCGAGTAATGAAGAAGTAGAGAAGTGGGAGAACAATAATGGCATGGATGAGCAAACCAATGATAACAGTAACTGTATACATGGCAAGCTGGCCTCCAATCACACCCATATCTTCCATCTCAACAATTTTTCCAGCAATTAAAAACAAAATACCAAATGGTGCATACCTGGAAAACAAAAACAAAACAAAAAAAAGACAAAGAGAGACAGAGAGAAAGAGAAAGAGAGAGACACAGACAGACAGAGACAGGGAGAAAGATAAATTCATTGCTTTGTAACCATTCTATTAGTCTACTTTTGTGCAAAAATGTGTAATGTATCTTTATTCTCTTTCACTTGAAAATTCCTTGCTGCATTCTATAAAGACAGAGACTGTGACCCTAAATATATTGTCCCAATATATTATTGTTTATTATACTGTCTGGTGATCCTTTGGCTAAAAAGCTGTCTAGGAAACCAAAAGGGAAGCCTCTGTAAACACAAGAGAATTTATTTTTAACATATACTCTGCAAGTTAGTGGCAAACAAAGAAGAATGTGAAGATACCAATTCATTATGGACAGATTTTAATCATGGCTGGTTTGTTGTATTCCAAAATATGTATTTTTTACAAAATATATTTTTCATCACATTCTATTTGTGTAAAATATTATCTTGGTGCAACAATGAATTCTGAAGCCTGTTATGCAAGAGCTTGTATACTATGGCTGTAATTCAGTCTATGAATACTGAATTAAAGTAACTCTCTGCACAAATATAGGAACTAGGCAGTTTGTTAGTGATACTACAGATTACTTTTTAATCCAGAATTTATTTTAGCTTCAGAAATTGGCTTTGTGCCCAAGGCAGCACTATAATTCATGATCTCCCAGTTTCTAGCCTGGTACCTTAAACACTACACCAAACTGGCTCTCAAGATTCATTACATCACCACAAATGTCTATAGCCTTTATTTGAAAACCTCCAGTGAAGAAGAAACCACTCCATGTAGTAACTTATTCCACTGATTGTTATTGTCAAGAAGTTCTTCCTAATGTCTAATCTGTACTGACCTCCTTGAATTTTCATCCCAGAAATTGTTAGAATAACCAAGAAGGAACTTCAGCTTAGACCTTCAAGTAAAGAGTACTAAATTCAGGTAGTAACACAGTGAATTTAGTACTTACCACATTATTAGAGCTACCAGTCGCATGATAGCCTCATTGAGACTGTCGAAGAACTCTCTCAATGCCCGACCTTGTTCCTTCATATTGCCAATCACTAATCCAAAACTGATGGAGAAGACAACCAGTCCAAGTGCATTCACTCCATTTACACCCCCTGGTACAGGGATTATCTCCTTCTTCATCTGAGTTAGGTTTTCCACAGCTTCTGTTACATTATTTATAATGCCAACAAGGACCGATGTTTCATTAGAATCATCATGTGTATGGTGAACACGCTCTTCATAGTTTGTTTTGAACTGTTAGAGATGGTTAGAAGGACAAATATTATATTCACGTGTTAGGAATTCTAGAATCTTATTTCTAACGACTCAAATGCAATTATCAAAAGATTTATCTGACCTCCCGGGATGAAGACAGAAATAATCTAAATAAGGGGGGGGGGTATCCTTGGTGCTCTCTGAGCCTGCTTGTTTTCTTGCAGACCTTTCATTACCCAAACTAGGTAACATCATCCGTGCTAATAAGGAGCGCAGTTTGCTGTCAGTTTTTTGGTTGGGCTGTTTACTGTCCGCTTCTTTGGCAGTTTCTTGATTGGGGTATTGTTTAATTGATTGTTGGTCTGATGTTAACCTTGGAGTTAATCTATGCTGATCTGGATGCTGATTGCTGGAAGAGAGGTGCTTGGGTCTTTTTGTTCCCTTTTTGCTTGATTGATTGTCTTTTTTGCATAGTCTATAGATGTTGTTAAAGTCTATGTGTCTATTGATGGCTAATTTGTCAGAGTACCAGACTTCTAGAAATTCCCTGATATGGTCACATTTTCCCAATTGAAACTATGGTTAGATTTGTCTATATGTTGTTAAATTAAAGGATTTTCATCATGTTAGTCTCTAATCTAAACACTGCTGGCTTCTAATATTATGTTGTATTTTTAATAATAATGAGGCACTTGTCTTCTGTACATCTATGGCTACTGGAACATCAGCAATAACCATAGGAGCATTTTTATACTTTTAATAAGTCAGAGATCTGTACAGAAGAGCAACTGGAAAATCTAATCCTGGTTGGGTCATAAAGCTATGCCCAGATAATAGAGCCTCAAAGAATCCATCCTATAGAAGCTGTAGGTCAGTGATGGCAAACCTTTTAGAGACCGAGTGCCCCAAAACCGCCTTGCCCACCCCGCCCGCCTGCAGGGCCACCCACCACCTCCACGGCTCGCCGTAGATCACCCAGGTGATCCAGCAGTGCCATGGCAGCCATGCCCTCTGCCCGCGCCTCGCAGCATCATCTGCATGCGATGGGGCGCAAGGGCAGAGACTTGTCCCTGCTGTCTGGCTGCCATGTCCTTGGTTGCACTGCTCCACATGGGCCACGCCCGGGGGCGACTCTCCTCCTGCTGGTGAGGACAGGGCCATGGGGGAAGGCAGGGCTGGGGCAATGGCGTGCATGTCCACAGAGAGGGCTCTGAGTGCCCCCTCTGGCACATGTGCCATAGGTTCGCCAGCACTGCTGTAGGTGCTTCTCACTGGAAGACAATTAAGAACATTCCCTGCATCATAAACTTGGACTTTGTGTAATCCCAATTGAATCTGGACATGTAATATACTCATATATAGGAAGGGATTCAATTTTTTTTTTTTACCTGTTTGAAGCAGGCTTCTACAAGATTTGGAGGAAACATGTTTCTGTAAAGAAGAAGAAAAATAATATTTACCTATTAGCCATAATTTGTCATCCTATCAGGATCACACTAAAGGACAATCAATTTATTTTTTTCAGTATACCTTTAAACACAAAGTATAATCTAAAACCACATTTTATGGGGTGGTTACTGGTAGCAGAAACGTGGTCACTAGAAGTGTTTTCTGGCCATATACAAGCAGGCCCAGAAAACAATGGAAGAGCTTTGAGGCGCTTGCCAGGTATCTTAATGGTGTCAGCTGCTTCACAATCAGATTTGCTTCTTTGTAAGCAAAGTGGTTCCTCAAATGATTTGCATACCCTGAATCAAATTATGCTATTCTCATGTAGTTGAAATTTCTCTCACCAGTTAAATCTCTCACCAACACACATATTCAGCGAAGTTTTTCCTTCATTCAGAATATAATAAACAAGAACACCAATGATGATTTATATTCCCAATGTCAACCATCCCCAATGAAACTGGAATGATACCTTATAGGAATCAGTAACGGCCCTAATTGGCTTTAGAATGAGAGACTAACAAGAAAGTCCTACTTAAACCTTGTAGACCATCCCAGAAGACAGTTGCAAAGCTCTTCCATACTATTGTCAAAAAAACCCAAACTTGCCCATAAATTCACCCAGTCTTGCTCAGCTTGATGGTGAGCTATACTTACTTTGTATAAGTGTGCAAAGCCTTTGCAAACTGTGGCTCTCAGGTTTCCCAAAAATGCAAAGTACTGCCCCCAGCCACAAAAGATTGTTCAACTACGATCTGTGGCTATCCAGCTACTTTTGGACTCTATTTCAGAATTATTTCCAAGTTGACGATGCCACCTTGGTGCTCCATCACATCACTCATTTCCTTAGCTTTACATTATCACACATCAAACATCTTTTTTGATTTAGTTAATAGCTTTCCTTCAGGAAGGCCCTCCTACAATTCACACTAACCACACTGCAATAAGAGGGCTGTAACCTAACACATTTGAAAGGAGCCCAAGTTGCAGAAGAATGCTGCCTACCTGATTAAGTCCAGAAAGGCATCCGCAGCTGTCACTCGGACAATCTTGCCTTCTCTGTGCATTTTTTCCTTTGACCCTTTCCCAGGATGGATGATGACTACCATGATTATCCCAATCAGGACAGCTATAATTGTGGTACTCATGTAATACACCACTGCTCGGAGACCCATTTTCCCTGATGCTTTACTGTCCAAGGCCGACACTCCTAACACAAAGGATGTATAAAAGTAAAGTTAGAGGCATACATCTCAGAAATTTAATCTTCTTTGCAGAGGAAAGTCCTCTTAATCTGGCCCAGCTTCAAAGGACTTTGAGGAACAACCACCCTGAAATTCCTTATTAATTATACCCATAAACTGCTTAACCACCAGTTGCCTAGTGACTGTTTGAGATTATGACCAATCTCTTCAGAACTACTTGTAACCCAATTCCGGAGTTCAAATGGCTGCACAGAAAAACATATACCTTACAGTTACATGATCAAATTTGGGATGCTTGGTAACTGGCTCACATTTACGGCTATTTGTAGCATTCTGCAGTCATATGACTATGATTTTTGGTGGATTTTGTCGGTTTCCAGCATTTACTTCCAGTTTCCAGCAAAAAAAAAGCCCATTGAAGAAAACAATGGTCCTCGCTTAATGACTGCCACAATAAAATGGACTATGTTTATGTGGTGACAAACTTAGCAACCATGACAACATATGAATGTCATTCTGGGCTCCATTATGGTCTTATGTCAAGGACTACTTGTGTGATGTTTTAAATTTTTATCTTGTTTTTATGATTGCCTCTAGGCGAGATGAGTGGCATATATGTTTACTAAATAAACAAACAAATAGGGCTTTGAGAAGGCACAGAATATATATCTACCTTACTGTGATAAATTCTATTATATTTCAATTTTAGCTATAGCAATTAATTCTACCTTTAGCATTTCACATGTAACTATTCTGCACAAATATGCCCGTTCTTTTTTGGTAATGGATTTCCCATTTTAATTCTTTAATTCATATTCATTTATTATTCATTCAATTATGTATTTCTTGCATTAATACCTTACTGTTCTTTTAAATAATTAACAGAGATGAACCTGGGCACACCCTCATCTTATCCTCAAAATAACCATCTTGTTAGATAGATTGGGCTGAAAAAAATGTCTGCCCAATCCAGTACTATAACTACTATATCATGCTGGCTAACATGTAAGTGTCTACTCAGGCAATTATGTTTGAGGGATGGTGCCCATGGAGGGGAATATGGTGTGATGGATTACAAAGAAGCCGGCAATTTCCCAGGAAGGAGTGAGCACATTCCAAGAAGGTGGATAAGATAAGAGGCAACACAGCCCTGATGTCAAGCCCAAAATCAAGAATCACACATGGTAATTTTTCCAAGCTGAGTTCTTTATTGTTTCATACCTATAGACAAAATCTCAACTATCTGTATCTACAATATATTCCACAGTTGAACTGTTGGGGATGGGATGTTTCCACCTCTTTCTCTCACACATAATATCTGAACAGTGTTGCTTACTCCCCTGGAATGCACTCTTCCCCTCCTAGGCAATCCACCTCCATGCTAAAGTCTATCACACTAGAGCTGGAAAGGAGATAGAGGAAGAAAGTTGGAATAGCCACTCTTTAGAATCTCCCAGAGTATATCCATTGGGTTGAGAGTAATAAAGGTTTAGTCTGGCAAGATTCTGTTTATTGTGTGTAATCCAATAAAGAAGTGAATTTTGGCTGGACTGTTCCATATTGGGCTGAACTTGAAACTACCGGTAGGTGACAAACACAGCCCTGCAAAGCTGAACAAACTGCAAACAACCTTTGCAATATACATTCATGCAGAGGAATACCATCTGTGTGATTAACAATAATAACTATCAGTCTAAACTCAAGGGAAAGTAGGCTAGGCTGTATACCCATAAAAAAGGGCAAGTATCTTTACCTAAGTTTTCTTTTAAGCATGTATGCCTTACAGTCTGGCATGCAGATTGCTTGAATCAGAAACATTGCACTGTCCCAAAGGCAAGGGGTGGAATATAGTTTTTAATTACAATAAACAAAACAAAACAAAAGCAAAAGCAAAATGTACCCTTGATTAATCCAAGTTGTGACATTTTAAATACAAATAAAGCCAAACAAGCTTTGTTAGTCTTCAAATTACATCCATAATGGAGCCTGCCCATCACAGAGGTAACTCATGATGATTTTATGACCTTTTTTGAGTCAGTTGTTGTGGTTGTTAAGTGCACCCATGGTTTGCTATGGCGGGTTTTGCTGTAAACTGGAAGTAAATACCAGTTTTTGGCAAAACTGTCCTAAAATATGGTCACATGACTGTAGGATGCCACAAACAGCTGTAAACATGGCTCACTTGCTGAATGCCCAAAGTGAAGTCACATGACCATAGCGGGGTTGAACCACTGGAGCTTCGATTCTGGGTCGTACTGTAACTACTGTTCTAGTAAGTTTCTCAAAGCTTCAAGTGGTCACTAAGTGACTGGTTGTAAATTGAAGACTACCTGTATCTTTTAAGACAGTTCTTAGGCCAAATCTGAGGAAGTAACCGGACTGTCTGTTCCTTTCCATTTCAGAATCTGTCACTTGTATCACGATCACTCAACTTTACTCCATTCCCCAATGTCAAATTTGGCAAACTATCTCTGACTTCTCAGAGATTATTTTCTTCAGGTTTAAATGTACTTTTGCCTTTTGCTGTAACTTCCCATAGTCCTTGATGTTGACGCAAGGTTGCACAGTTGGAATAGCCCAGTTTTTTTTGCTAGCTGGGGAATTCTGGGAGCTGAAGTCCACACATCTTAAAATTGCTGAGGTTCAGAAGTACTGCAATAGCCTATTCAAAACACACACACACACACACACACACACACACACACACACACACACAAACAAACCCTGAGGCCCTTGCTCTTAGGGCTGCATCCCATTTCTACTCTCAACTTTGCAAGCGCAAAGTAACACAATATTTCTAGATATCCAAGTCAGTGGCACATTTCCTGTTCTTCACATCTGCCAGAGTAGGACCCTACTGTGTGGGCTGTTTAGATACCACTTTAACTCTTTGCATTATTCCATCTTTTGCTCATGATATTGGAATGCACCACACAATATGTTTTTTGAACAGAAACTAAGGGAGTAATTTATCTTCTTTATGTGTGCTAAGCAGAGCAGGAGGTAAGGACTAGCAGGGATTCACAGCAAGCCATAGAACGGTGATTAGTAACAGCTGACAGCCTTGAACCGAGTCTCTTTCTCTTGGGTTGCCTCATTGTAATACCAGAGCACAAAGAACTAACTGTCCCAATGCCAAGAATCTGTAAACGAAGGCGCACAGAAATAGCAGCCCAAAATTTTTCAGTAACTAAAGGCAGCCAATACCTGCTTGCTGGAGACCTGAAGAGACCATCCTTTGATGGATGTGAAACTTAAATTAATCTGCTTTCCTATAAAAGCATTTTCTCATATCATTAAATGGCTTAAAATGGCCTTTTCTGGTAGCTGGGATATGAGTTGGGTGAGGATATTTGAAAGTAAATGATGTATAATCAAAACCCATCAGCTTTTGAAAAAAGGACCTTCACTTGATGATTGTCCCTAATGTTGAAGTAGTACAGTGAAATACTGTGATTTAATTAGAGGGAAGTCCATCAAAGTAATTTCCCAAGCCAACCAAACTTCTTGAAGCATAGCAAATTAGCAGGAAAGCCACTTTTTTTTTTTTTTTGATCTGAGGTAATACATCTGCAACATTTTTCCAATCTGTTACAATAATAATAGATTTAAATCTGCTTAAAAGATTAATTTGGCTAGGAAACACCATTCCTTTCCTCCCAATTTATCCAACCACAGATATAGTAAATGATCAGATGTCATAAAGCACGGATGTCAAACTGCCAGCCCGTGGGCCGGATGCGTCATGGTGAAACTGCTCGCATCCCATTGCAGGCAATGGGGAAAAAGCCACGATACGTCACAAGATGTCACATGACATTGCGAGTTTGACACACCCCTGTCATAAAAATGTCTTTTATTTAAATAATGATTTTCTTAATTGCTCCCTACATATTAGCCCTCCAGTGGCTTCATATGCAGGGCTATACCATGATTTATTAATGCTTTGTAACTATGCCACAACTAGCTGAATTCAGCTATTGTTCTAGACCAATATTTCTCAAAATTTGGTAAGCTTCAGGAATTTCCCAGCCAGCATGCCAAGTTTGAAATATACTGTTCTAAGCTAATCTAAATAAAACACTATTCCAGGTTGATAAAAAAAATAAGTATCAAGAACTTCCAAATTCATCAGAGTTAGGAAAGGACATGTTTGTATTATTTTTTAAAAAGCCCCTTCTTCAGAACTCAAGTTTTAAAATTATTTAAGAATATCCCCACCAATTCATCTGCTTTTGCCCGTTGCAATTTTGACAACTGGAAAGTGGTAGCCCAGTGGTCTAATAGGCACTTCTCACTAGAGTTAGGATAAGAACAAACATTTTAAGGACATGCTATGCTCCCTCTGATTGGCTATATAAATACTGACTTCCTGTCCCTAAGTATATATAGTTTAGTGAGATGATCATGTGCTTCTACAACTTATATATAGTCATTGAAGCTAAATTTATTTCCAATTTTCCAATTTTGCTACATTTGAAAGTGGTAGCAAAATGAAGAACTTATTTTAGTTTACAGGCCAAGGAGAGCCTATTCAAATCTTATTTATTATTTCATCCTTCCAAATTTAGGGACCGAACGATCAACAGTGATGATGATAATGGCACAAGGAAGTTGGAGACGAGAATGGAAGGCAAACAGTGAGATGCATTCCAGAGAAACATGAGCCATTCCTCTGTAAAGAAGGCAAAGGGTTACAGGGTCAAATGCAAACCAGATCTCCAGGTTCACAGTTAAGCACTATGTTTTGACCTCTGGAAAGATAGGTCAGTGTTTATAGCCTTAGTGGAATTCCTGGCTTAAGGCAGCAGAAGAAAAGTCAGACCAGGCAGCTAGACAACATGGAGAAGGAAGTTTAAGTACATAATGGCACAATGTCCTAAGCTTGCCATATGTGCCTGTTTCTGGAGAACAATAGTGAAAGAGGCCTATCATCCTGCCATTCTATCTGTAAGCTTCCTAAATGCATCCATGACACAGAATGCAAGACAGAAGACTGGATTAAATGGGTCCTTGGTCTGATCCAGCAAGACTCTACTGATCTTAGATTGCTATGGCTACACAGAATGGGGAAGAATGATGCTAAAAACAAAGCACCACTTGCAGTGATTGGCTAATAAAACCACAGGAAGTGACAAGAAAGGTGAATAACACCTTAAGTCTCCTACTATAGGTACAATACTTTGAATTGGAATTTATGAAGAAGTAGATGTAATAAAGTTCACATGAGAAATCTGTTTGATGAGAAATGAATTACCTCCACAAGCGACAAATATTGCCGAATATCAGATGCTGGGCATAACATTTTTGTGTATGTCTGCCTTAGTATGTTGTGTGAGCGAAGCCTATGATTTAGTTCTGATGCTACTCAACTCCATTTGATCCTGCTCTTCTAACAGACTTCTGAAGTTATAAAGCTGACTCAGGCTGTGTTTACATAGTTAAATCTATGTGACCATCAAAGGTCTAGCTACTCTAGTAGTTATATTCACATAATACAGTAAGCTTGGTGTTAATCTTGGTTAGGGCTTTTTGGCCAGGTTTGTTAACTATTGGATAAGTTTATAATGCACAAATAGTCTTCAGCTTATGACCACATTTGGGATAGAAATTTCCATGATACGTTGATGTATTTATAAGGCGAGGTATCACATAACAAGACCCAATCTTACAACTGTTTTTATTGCTATTAAGTAAATCACCTCAGTTGTTAAGGGAAACATGTGGTCATTAAGCAAATTCAGCTTCCCCAATTTATGTTTTTTGTTGAAAACTGGTAAGAAATTGTTATCACAAATTGTTATCACATGATTGCAGGATGTGCAACTGGTTGTAAATGTGAGCTAGTTGCCAAGCACACAATTGTTATCGTGTGACTGTGAGATGTTGTGACATTTGTAAATGCAAGGGGAGGTCATAAATTGGCTTCTTTCAAGGCTGTCCTAATTTTGAACTGTTGTTAAACAAATGAACATAAGTTGAGAATCACCTGTACAGTACTGCATGAACCATCTAATCAGTGGTGGGATTCAGCCAGTTCGCACCACTTCGGCAGAACCGGTAGCTAATTTTTTGTTGTCCAGGCCCAGAATGGACTTCCGGAAAGGGTATCCACATAGAGAACCGGTTGTTCACATATTTGAATCCCACCACTGCATCTAATGCTTAATAATTCAAAGAACCAGGTTCAGAGTGCGTTTGAAAACAATCCCTGTCTCACACAGAATCTTTCCCCAGGGTAAACACTATTTTTCCAATATCCAATAAAGAGCTTCCTTTTCCAGCAGTTGCTTTAACTAGGATAATTATAAGTTACACAAAACAGGTCCAGTTTTTACCATTTTCCTTTATTTTATATCTGTAATTTTAACAACTTTTTAAAAACTAATTATTTTCAAATTCTGCCAGAGACCATTTTAGCCATACTACGTATCTCTTTTCCTCTTAAATAATAAAGCATGGAGATGAAGATTGTACCCACCCTTCCTAAGAATTAAAAATGGTAAAAAAAAAAATGGCTACCTGAATATTATGGCATGTACAAAAAACATGCAGTCTTAAAACAGCATTAGAATCTTTTCATCTAATGTGCCTGGAAAATCCAACAATATTATTATTATTACTTTAAAAGTAATCTTCCCTTTCATTTGTTTTCTTTTCTACTCTAAAAATCTCCATTGTTTTACTGGCAGTTATACTCTTTCCTTCTTAGCTCACAAGCCAGTCTTTTTGAGAACTGAAATGTGCACAACAGTTACACATCTGTGTTTGTGGAAGGGGGCAGTGGGAAGTTCATACATTACCAGCTGCTTTCAAATAAGTCCAAATTACCTTGGGGGTCCCTTGATAGAAGGTAGACAATAATATTAATAAACATCTTTCCCTCTAAAACAGCACACTGAGGTGAACTTCCAGTTTCAGAGGGCTTTCTGCAACTATTCTCTGAGGGAACCTGCTACAGCTTTAATTTTTGTTGTTGCTGTTGTTGCAATATTGGAAGAAAATGCTTTGTAAAAAATTTTTAACTCAGGAATATGCAGAAGATAAATAGAACAGCCATTGGAGAAGGAAAGACTTTCTGGGATTTTGAGAAAATTGTGCTTACTGAGAGAATGAGATATTTCTAGAATGGTCCAAAATGACTCTGTAGGAAGGCCGATGATCACATCGGCTGGCCAATTTTTCAGAAAGGTGATCTTTGGAAAAGGTAAGAAGAGCAAAGCATGACAGGGCAGGTAGGAGGAACAAGGCTGTGTAACCTGGCAGAGCGGGAAGCAGGTCCAAGGCTGTGGATCCAAAAAAGCAGGCAATCTGGCAGAGTGGAAAGCTGTCCAGAGGGGGGCTACATGGAAAGGTCCTGGGAGGCCCAGCAGAGGCCATGTATTTAAATTTATGAACCTTATTTATTGTTTTATAGTGTGTATTAATTAAATGTAAGCTGCCTAAAATTGCCTCTGTTGAGATGGGTGGCATAGAGGTACAAGCAAGCAAGCAAGCTAGCTGAGAGTGTGCTGCAATGTAAGCTTGGACCTAAAACAGAGCATGGGCCTGCGCCAGGACTTCCGTATCCTGAGGCACCCCGTGCTCTGCTTAATGACCAACACAGTAACTTAATGACTGCAACTGGGAGAATCAGAATTTCAGTCATTGAATAAGGAGTCATATGGGTGCCTCACTTAACAACCACAACAACTTATGACACACCACCACAACAAATCAATTATAATCAATTAATGAATAAATATCTTAGTTTTACCTGAAGTTGTTGGTAACCAAATCTTTCAGCTTCTGTATTCAAGCAAATATTCTGCCACAGAGCTCCCGTCCTTTTCATTAAAGAGCTTATTTTTGACTTAATAATCACGATCATGAATTATTATATTACATCACATTCTAGATTCTTTGATGCGCCTAGAGCACGGGTGTCAAACTCGCCATGTTATGTGATGTGTCGTGACGTATCGTGACTTTTTTTGCATTACCGGAGCTGGGGTTGATGCAGCCTCCGTATGATGCAATTGGCTCGCGGGCTGGCAGTTTGATACTCCTGGCCTAGAGTATATCCTTAGGTACTGTTTTTTAAACAATACACATATTCACACAAAGAAGAATGTTCAACTTGAATGACAGTAGTAAAACACAAAAAGAAATTAGAAAATAATTTATACCAGTACCTGTTACTAAGCTGGATACAATGAGAGGCAAAACCAACATTTGCAGCATTCTCATTAACAGTTCACCAGGGAAGGAAAAATATTTTACTTCTCGGTAGCTGAAGTGATAGGATCGGAGAGAAAAGCCAAGGATGATACCTAAGAAAAGAGAAACCATGGTGCTTTATTCTTCTGCAAGCATTATATAAACACATATATTTGGTACAGCTGTAACTGACAAGAACATTCAAAGATACACTGAGGGCAGAACTACAAATTCTCATCACTTTGATGTTGGCTGCAACTGAGCTGGTAGACTATGGGGTTTGTGAGGCAATAAAATATTTTCTGCTGAATTATCTAGCTCTCATGACTTCCAGAAAAGAAGGAAATAGTGTAAAACTGATTTTCCTGAGGTATGAATGTGCTTGGACTTCACATACTTAAGGCTTGCCCTGAAGAGAAATCCTCACATAAGCTTTTATTTTCTTCTGAAAACTTGATGTACAATTGAGCTATTGATCATTGATTCTCATTGTATACTCTTTTCAGTAGTCTACTTTTTAATCAGAAAGTAGAATAACCCATATACTAATAGTGTAGTTCCATGCACTATTCAGAAGCCCCAGAGAAGACAGTGGAGTTTATTCCCATCTAATCTGAAGAAGATTGCAAATACTGAACATTGCTCAATTCTGTTTGTGTTTTAGGAATTAAAATGGTTAACCTATGCATTCTTTTGAATGGAAGTGATGGAAGGGCCTGTGTAGGCCATTCATGGTTGGCCCTGCTTTTCCTTTCCATTGATCACAGGAGCAGTTGGTAAGCAGCTGTACAGTTCTGAATGATTGTACAACTCTTTTATTTTATACTCTTCAGCAGCTGAGCCAGTCTTACACAAAAGGGGGACTTAAAAGAGCACATGTGAACTCATGCTTATTCTGAAATTTCAGTACTATTCTTTTCACTATAAGTACAAGGAGTAACCCACACAAAAATAAGAAGCAGTTGGGGGTGAAGTGGATGATCAGGCTACAAACTGAGAGAGCATGAAATCTCCTTAGGCATGAAATCCTGCCTTAGGCATGAAAGCAGCTGGGTGACCTTGGGCCAGACTCTCTTTCACAACCCTAAGAAGGAGGCAATGGCAAACCACTTTTGAAAAACCTTGTCAGAAAAGCTTCCAGGACTATTCTAGGCAATTGCCTAGAGTAAAAAACTTACTCCAAGGCATCATTTTGCGAGATGGGTGGCATATAAATTTAATAAATAAATAAAGGCACACAGATACACACACACACACACACACACCAAATTACCCACACAAAGTTTTAGAACTTTACAAATTCCTCTCTACGTTATTGCAATTACAATACCAATTCACCAATGTCCTGCCTTTCATTTTATTAAAGGTACCGTGGATGCAATGTTATATTCATTCATGTTTGACAACAGAGCAATGACTGCAGGTAAAAAGTAACAAGCAAGGCTAGTTGGAAATCAAAGGGACTCTGTATAGATTCTATGTATATACAGAAGACCCCTATTCTACAAAGGTTTAAGTTTCCTAACAATTTGTGAGCCTATCTGTGGAACAAAGCCTTGTAAGAAATCTCCCAAAAGTTGTTCTGCAGGTTTTCTCCTGACTTGTCACTTTGGGGGGCGGGGGGGAGAGGAAACTGGCATTCAAAATGAAGACAGGAGGAGCACATATTTCCAAAAGACAAAGAAATTCTAATGCCCTGATTTTTTTTCAGGAGAACAATGCATTAAAAGAAACTATCCAGGTACACAATCTAAACAGAGACAAAAATGAAAAAGCTTGCAAGATGTAGCTTTGTACAATCACCAAACTAAACACATTTTTGGTTCTATTTTGTACTTCTTCATGTTAAAAGGGAAATATAAATGCAGAATTCTGAAATGCAACTCTGCTAGGTTACTAAATTTAATTAATAATTTAAATATTTTGATTAGGGAACATGCAAAATAACAATATAAGGAATATATAGTTATTGAATGATTAATCTACAGATGTCAATACCAATCTTAAATAAGATAGGTTGCACTATAGCAGTATTTTTCAAACTTAGCAACTTTAAGATGTATACACTTCAACTCAGCAGAAGACTGGCTGGGGAATTCTGGGAGCTGAGACCCACACTTCTTAAAGTTGTCAAATTTGAAAAACACCAATCTGTGGCATTAAAATTTGGAACAAAATTATATTGATATCCAAAGCACAAATGTCAAAAATTGCTTTCTTACTATTATTTGCAAGCCAAAATAAATGAAAAAAGATTAAAATTACAATATCTCCATAAAACAAATTTCATAATTGTATCCTTAAATAATTGTTTCTTGATCAAAGCACTCAACCAATCTTGTATCTGAATAATGATCTTCTCATTATTATTGCGTATTCCCACAGTGTTAAAACCATGGAATTTCCCCTTTCTGGATTAGCATTATATGAAACCATTATTTCTTATTTAACAAATTGTTTTTTTTTTTAAATCCTGCCTTAGCATTATAAAGTAGTGCTTCCCAAACCTGGATCAATTATCCATATTTGGGTAAAAGTGATTTTTCTGTCAGTAAAAACACATTAACCTATTACCCAATCACAATAGGGACATTTAAACTGACTTAAAGTGTTTTGCCCACATTGGGTAAATAGGACTTTTTGATAGCAATTTTGAGAATGAAAGGAAAAAGCTTAGGAAGCTTTGGTTTAAAGTAATGTCCTTGTCTCTCAGAGAAAATTTAGAGGGTAAATCAAGTGAACAAGAACTTTGTTTCTCTTAAACCAGGCAAAAGGAGATACTTAACTCCAATCAGATACAATTATATACATCCAGGGCCCTTTTTCAGTACAGATAGTCCTCAACAGTTCATTTAATGACCATTCAAAGTTACAATGACACTGGAAAAAAGTGATTTATGACTATTTTTCACACTTACGACTGTTGTAGCATCCCCATGGTCACGTGATTTATATGAATCTTGACAACTGACTCACATTTATGATGGTTGCAGTAAGTTGAGAACTACCTGTAGTCCATCATGAGATTAAAAATATATGAGCAGCAAATGAGCTTATATTTGCTTTCCCTATCTACTTCATTTGTATTTTATCAGATGTACCTGGGAAAATACCAAGAATTCTTTTGCTTATACAGCTGAAATCACTTGAGAGGCAAGGAATGGGATTCCTGACCTGTGCTTCCCTTCCCCTGCCTCTATGAACTGGTCCCACTGCCATCTACAAAATGGAGGAGAAAGATTGATAGGGCACAAAAATGTACCTGCTCACAAGCTCTCTGCATGATTTAGATTTTAGAACTCTTGAGAGCCAGGTTGATATACAGAGATAAAGTGCTGAACTAGATACCAGGAACCTGTGGACTAGATGTCTCTTGGGCATGAAAGGTGACTGGGTGACTTTGGGCCAGTCCCTGTTTCTCAACCCAACCTGCCTCATTGGGTTGTTGTGAATGGTAAAATACAGGTAGTCCTTGACCTACAACCAATTATTTAGCAACTACTAACTATTAGGTTAATTAATCACTGATCTCAAACTCAGATCTGGGAACTCAGTTTGTTGGTGTTAATGAAGTGAAATGCTATAAATACCACTGAAGAGACAGGGCCATAAATCATGGGCCTATTCTCATATGACTTTAGCCTTGTCATCATGAGAATACTAGTTGCCTTCCCAAAAGCAAAGATGGATTTGAGATGGGAAGTGAACAGAACTTTGAAGTAATGGAGAATATAACAGGAGACCAGATACTGAGTGTATTATATAAGAGATTCAAAAAATTTGTTTCAGGATCCGATATGTTGCCAGTGGGGAAACAATAGATGGTGTATGGGTTTGTATTCTTAAGAATTGTATTGTTCTCCCATTAATATCCAGTTAAGAATTTTTAGTAATAACTATCAAGCAACCTAAATGTGGAAAGAATGAAGACTAGCCTTAAATTGTTATTCTTTGATGTTTCTGTTATGTTTTTGTCTTCTGTTCATTGATTTCTTATACTATTTCTCAAGGAGCCTGAAGCCGAGAAGAAAAGTCTATTTCTAGAAAAGGTCTTCCAATATGTACACAGAAACAAAGTTAAAGAACTCAACATGAAGCAAACTGAAAATTTGGAACCAGATTTAAGTTCAGGAGAAGCTGAAGACAGCTAAGAATTTTAATGACAATAGCAAGGCAACTGTTTCGTATAACTGAGCTACTTAATGTCACAAATTGATATTTACTAGGGTGCTATGACAACTAAAGTAATTTCTTTTGGGGAATCAGGGTGATGTCTATACATGTATGTGTTTAAATATAAGTTTGTTTCTGTCAATATGGCACCTCTAAATTTTCTCTGAGCATTTCCCTTTAATCCAAACCTAAAGCCACAAAATTAAAGAAGAGTTCTCAAACTTAACATTATTTTCAATTACATCAAACATTAATTATATCTAAACAATATCAGACACTGCTTGCTAATCTTTTAACTTGGTTAAATGAGAAACCCCTGTAAATAAATTGACTGCTATGTCAATTCATATATTCTAGAGGTCAATTATTCACATTAGTTACATAGCCTACCTTATATATTGATCCATATTTCTACAAATGTATATGATTCACTATACATCCATTCTGTGTCTAGGTCTATTGTCTTACCCGGTAACCTTTTTTCTATTCAACAACTATTTATATGATTAAAAGACAAAATCAAAGAATTAATGGACTTTTTGAAAGAAGTATGGGGTCTGTCACTTACAATTCCCTTTGTAATCAGTAGTATTTGCAGATACCTGGTGTTGTCTAGCTGATAAACCAACATTTAGTTATTTGCAAAGTAAGACATAAAATTGTATTGGTTGTGCTTTTGGATGACCTCTGCTAGGAATGGGATGAGGTTAGTGTATATGTTGATGATACGCTCTTTTATACATCCACTCTAGACCAACTAAGTGATGTGAAGGTTCTATCTGGAGACTGTGATGATTTGGCTGGGGAGCAACAAGTTTTAACTCAAGCTAAGCAAGATTGGGTGGCTTTGGATATTGGGGCCTTGCATAAAACTTTGGTAATGAAATGTCCGCAAGAAAACAACCAAGCCCCAAGGAGCCCCCCAACTTGAGGTCCAGTA